AACAAACAACACACAACACACAACACACAACACACAACACACAACACACAACACACAACACACAACACACAACACACAACACACAACACACACACACCCCACACACACCCCACACACACACACACCCCACACAGAGACACCCCACACCCCACACCCCACACCCCACACCCCACACCCCACACCCCACACCCCAACCCCACACCCCACACCCCACACCCCACACCCCACACCCCACACCCCACACGCCACACCCTACACCCCGCACCCCACCCCACACCACACACCACACACCACACACCACACACCACACACCACACAACACACAACACACAACACACAACACACAACACACAACACACAACGCAACACACAACACACAACACACAACACACAACACACAACACACAACACACAACACACAACACACAACACACACCACACACCACACACCACACACCACACAACACACAACACACAACACACAACACACAACACACAACACACAACACGCAACAAACAACACACAACACACAACACACAACACACAACACACAACACACAACACACAACACACAACACACACACCCCACACACACCCCACACACACACACCCCACACAGACACACCCCACACCCCACACCCCACACCCCACACCCCACACCCCACACCCCAACCCCACACCCCACACCCCACACCCCACACCCCACACCCCACACCCCACACCCCACACCCTACACCCCGCACCCCACCCCACACCAAACACCACACACCACACACCACACACCACACAACACACAACACACAACACACAACACACACAACACACAACACACAACACACAACGCAACACACAACACACAACACACAACACACAACACACAACACACAACACACAACACACAACACACAACACACAACACAACACACAACACACACACACCACACACCACACACCACACAACACACACACACACACACAACACACAACACACAACAAACAACACACAACACACAACACACAACACACAACACACACCACACAACACACAACACACAACACACAACACACAACACACAACACACAACACACAACACACAACACACAACACACAACACACAACACGCAACACGCAACACGCAACACGCAACACACAACACACAACACACAACACACAACACACAACACACAACACACAACACACACACACACACACACACAACACACACACACACACACACACAACACACACACACACACACACACACACACACACACACACACACACACACACACACACACAACACACAACACACAACACACAACACACAACACACAACACACAACACACAACACACACACACACACACACACACAACACACAACACACAACACACAACACACAACACACAACACACAACACACAACACACAACACACAACACACAAACACACAACACACAACACACAACACACAACACACAACACACAACACACAACACACAACACACAACACACAACACACAATACGCAACACGCAACACGCAACACGCAACACAACACACAACACACAACACACAATACGCAACACGCAACACGCAACACGCAACACGCAACACACAACACACAACACACAACACACAACACACAACACAGAACACACAACACACAACACACAAAACACAACACACAACACACAACACACAACACACAACACACAACACACAACACACACCACACAACACACAACACACAACACACAACACACAACACACAACACACAACACACACCACACAACACACAACACACAACACACAACACACACCACACAACACACAACACACAACACTGTCACAACACACAACACACAACACACAACACACCGGTGCGGTGGTGCGGTGGTGCGGTGGGTGCCATGGTGCCGTGGTGCCGTGGTGCCGTGGTGCCCTGGTGGGGTGCCCTGGTGCCGTGGTGCCGTGGCGCCGTGGTGCCGTGGCGCCGTGGTGCCGTGGTGCCGTGGTGCCGTGGTGCCGGTGCCGCCCGCACGTGAAACCGGGAAAGTCCAATGAAGAGAGATTGTTTACTTGAGCCAAGCGGCCATTCGGCACGCATGGTTTTCATGGAACAACACGTGAACAAAACACAACATTCATCCAAACGCATCCTAACGTGTCTGAATGTAGGTAATTCGTCGTTGGGAAGCTGGTCTTCAAGTTTGGCTTCGCATGGAAACTCATCAGCGGGTTGGAATTTGCTTGAAGTACTGTGGCTGTAAGATTTGTTTCGGCCAAGAGTTTTGTCTGACCCATCCTCGAAGTTTGTCTTTAGCTGCCATTTTCATCTGTGTCTGTGCGCGGAACGCATCCTGGAAACTTGTTTTTTGCAGTTTGTCCTTGCTTGTCTTTGCTGGAAACCTTGTCTGTGGCCAGAGCTCTTTGATCCGGGGAATCGTCTTCAAGCGGGCGATGTACAATGACAAATTATTTCGAACAACAAAATCATTGCAGAGCGGCTTCATCTTGAGGCCTCCGACCTGACTTGGCGAAGTTGGGCCTTTGGCCAAAAAACCTACAGGCATCGCCCCCGAGCGTCCCCTCTGCTCCCCTTTGTCCGCGTGGCTCGAAGCCTTGCACCTGCGTCAGCTTCCCGGAGATGAACCGCCGGGCCTGGCAGCTCTGCGCTGAGCCAGCCAATGCATTAGTCAGTTGACGGTTGGGCACCTGAAAAGTGCTCTCAGTGGACAAAACTGCAGAACAGCAAGTGTCAGACAGACGGGCACGGCCATGAATGCTTTGTGTGTGTCTGTGCGAATTACACCATAAGCTAGCGCAAAACCAGCTTGCCATGCTGCGCAAAGTGGCAAATTGTGACGTGCCATGCCATGCCTTGGTGTCCCCTGCTAGGCTGCCCCAGCTGCCCTTGCATCTCTTCGCCCACTCCTCACCGCCCCTTTTCTCAAAGCGGGGCAGATGCTCCGAAAACTAAGGGTGAAACCTCCAATCGAGCCCGCGCTGGGCCTTGGGTGCAAGCTCCCGGTGCAGAGCACAGAGTCTAACAATACACAGCCCATCGTTGCTTGCTTCAGCTGTTTGGCTTGCATCTTGGCGTGCAGCTTGCAGGAAGCCCCTTCATTCCATCGGGTTGAAAATGTAGCGGCGCAGCTCGCCGCTCTCATCCACCCTAATCTGCACCTGGGCAGGCAGAATCAGGCGATCGCCGAGCAACAGCAGGAATTGTTTGGAGACTCCCACTCGAATTGCAAACAAATGACTCAATGACATAGCAACAAGAATCAGTAGAGCACGATGCTAAACATGCCTACATACACCTTTGCTTGTTTGCTTCAAATAGTTACAGCACATAGCATGTTGGCACACCTGCATTCTTTCTTGTCGCCCAAAAGCCTTCTGGATATTTGATCACATCCTGGGCGACCCTGCCACCATATTCACCGCCATGGCCTCCTCGCCCGTCGGGCCCGTCAGCGTTGCCACCAACAGGCCGTTGGTCTGCTGCCACAGCGCCTGCCACAGCTGACAAGCCGAGGAGCATGGCCATCAACAGATGTCCCCCTCAGTCTAGTCTGAAGGCGAGAAAAATAGACTCATCCTTGATGGTTCTGGGACAACTCCGCATTCTAGCTCTGCTCCTGGACCAGGCCATTTGCAGAATTGCTTTACGTTTTCTAGCAAGCTTGCCCACACAATAACACTCACACAAGGTCAGAGTCTGTGTTCGCATGTGCTGGCTGCAGGGCCACGCACTCTTTTTCTCAGATCACGGCCAGGCAATGTCCGGGTCCACAAAAAGAATCATGTTCTGCCGCAGCGTCTCCCAGAATATGGCCCCTCAATGCCATTCACAATCTCATGTACAAGCCCAGTGGGCCAAGTCCTGGCATGGTCTGGCGAGTTGGATCACGGATCCCCAAGGACCCGCCTTGGGCACCTCCTCGATGCTGAGACCCTCCGCCAGAAAGGTCATGGCCTGAGGGCCAACGACTTGCGATCGATGGGCTTCCCACGCGACCGGGCCCTCGGACGTTGTGGCCCTGCACGTAGTCCTCCGGCTGAGTGGCTCCCACCTGAACGATCCGCAAAGGTCACAGGTGTCCACAAGGCCACATGCCATCCAAAGGCTCCAACTGAAAAGGCATTGCGCCAGCATCCCCTTCAAATTGTACTTCTTAGGGTGGATCTTGGCATCACTTGTCTGAACAACTCACAGCGCACCTGGACGATGTACCGTCGCTTGGCAGTGTCCACGACGTAGTCTGGCGAACTCCCCGCTCCCAGATGTCCCTCCTTCCCATCCCTGGCATCGCGAACCAGGAACCAAGCTGCCAAAATAGCCATATGTATCGCTGTCATATGTATAGCCATTGCCATATTCATAGCCATATCAATGAAGCCAGTTGACTCACGGCATATGCGATTCAAGTCCGCCAGCCAGGCTGACACACCATCGGAAGCCCTGCAGGTCCGAGTCCTCAGCCCAAACCCTGCGACCGCTCCTCTTGCTGCAAACGGCTGGGCGAATGTCTTAGTTGCATCCTGAAGTTGGGAGGATTGGGTCCCTTGCTGAGCCAAACGGGTGAGACAAGAAACGTTGGCCGGCTGAGCGGCGAAACTGCACGATGTTCGAGGCAACTGAGCGCCGTCAAGCCGAAAGCGCCGTCAAGCCGAAAGCGCTGAAACTGGGCTCTTGGCCGAGCTGAAGCCAATGGCTAGGCCCAAGCCATCCTGGGAAGCGGCCGAACAAATGGCTTTACAACCTTGTGCAGCCGTACAAGTGAGAAGTTGGCTCCACTCACCTTTCAGGGCTTAGGCTCGCAGGAATTGCCCTTGCCTCACCAGAGAAAAAATCTCAGCCGCGTTTCTCGGCTCGATTGCGCGATGGATGCGGTTTTGAAAGATCCTTTTACTAGAGGAGGCAAGGGTGCTGCAGGTCCAAGCAGGAAATGAAATTGCATGTCCTCAGTGCTTCTGCAGGGGTTGATAAGACCAACTGCTGTCTGTCTGCTGCACTATACGCGTGCCCAGCAGGTTGCTCTTTGTGTCTTGCCATCCCGAAACTAATCATGTTGTACGACTTCACTCCTTCCAGTGGCATTGCTAAGTCCATCAACACAGTATGTTTTAGACCGTTCAAAATTCCAACAAAATCCACCGTGGGGCTGGCAACGGACCATACCAATCATGATTGAATCTTGTGCCCATCTGACTGCATCCGCCATCCAAACTGCACCGAGCCCGTCCTCAAAGGCGCACTCCTCCGCAGGATTCAAATCCACCGAGGTCACCTCGATCTGCGGGCCCGGCGGGGGTGGCGGCGGCGGCGCCTCGGTGCCAGATTGGGGCGTGAAGAACCATATCTGACATGTGCAATGAACAGAGAGCTCCTCTTCCATTCCCCAATCAGACTCGTAACGCTGGAGCAGACTCATTATTCATAAGCGTGTATTGCCCAACTGATCTATATACTAGCCCAGCCACGGCTCGGTCCATGTGTGCAAGTTTACAACAAGACAGTTCAATGTTCAGGGCCCCGTTCGATCATCCCATTCCCCTACCAAGCGCCTCCGCCATGTTGCGCCGGCACCGCTCACCACTCGGCTTGAGCCAAGGACGGGGCAACGCAACGAAAGCCCTGAGGTGACATGAAACTCATGTCATGCATGAACGGTTTATTCCGCAAGACCATGCAATCCTGGAACCAAGGCATTGCTTCAATGCCAGTCTCAACAACATTCCACATGTGTAAGTCCCATGGGTCCATGACCTACCCCATGTTCCAAAACGCATGCCCACGCCTCACCAATGGCTGCCTGGGCGCTCCGCACCGCCTTTTCCGTCTCCTTCACAGCCTGATGCAAACGAAGCCGAAAAGGATGTACTGATCCCCAAGTCCCAGAACCAGATACCCAGAAGGGGACACGAGGGGACACATTCAGGCAGGGGGAGCATCCTCACCTCTCGCCAAAGAGCATCCTGAGGCGAGCCTGCAGCATGACCGGCTGGAGATCTTCGCCGCTGTCCACGTGCAGGGGTGCTGCAGCAATGGTCACCTTTCAGACAGGCCGACTGAATATGCAAAGCCCGCAACACGGGATTGGCAACAGAACACACGCACACAAACACGCACACACGCACACACGCACACGCGCGCGCGCGCCCGCACACGCGCGCGCACGCACCCACGCACCCACACACACACACACACAACACACACACACACAACACACACAACACACACAACACACACAACACACACAACACACACAACACACACACACACAACACACACAACACACACACACACACGCACACGCACACGCAACACGCACACCCACACCCACACGCACACGCACACGCACACGCACACCCACACCCACACCCACACCCACACCCACAAACACACACACACACACACACCCACACCCACACCCACACCCACAAACACACACACACACACACTGACTGGAGCAGCAAAGAACGCAGCTGCAGAGATCCTGTTTCTGATTGAGACCTCATTGGACGTGAGAGACCCGTCCTTTGTCTTGTTGCCAGGTCTGCACATGTCATCAGTGACAGGATGCCTTTTCGACTTCATCTTCCGACAGCTCGATCTTCTCCACGAGCTCTGGCATCATCTCCTCCAATGAAACTTCAGTCAAGTCCCGGTGGGGACAGTAACACAAGGCTTCAGCGGGTCAGCATAAAAAAGGGTGAAGGGAAAAGGAACTTTTGCCTGAAACATCTCCCCCAATAGCACAAGGATTGACACGCATTGCCACGGATTGCCGGCGTGCTGAACGTTGAATACCCGAAAGCATGCATCAAACCCGGGATGCGTGAGCCTTCCACGCGAAGGACCTCCAATAGTTGTACAAGCCACAGCCCAGCCCAGCCAAGTTGAAGTCCTCAAGCTGCTGCAAATGAGCACTCTCCTGAAGCAAGCGTTGGCGAAGGGTGTCAACGCGAGGGTCACTTCAGGAAGTCGGGCATCCGAACACACTCATACACACCTTCACACATGCGAATGCTTTCAACCTGTGTTTCGGGGATACGATTCCATCGCTCTCACTGCGGGCTGCGGCCAGCTCGGTGTAGGGCTCCCTTGGCCTTTCCTCCTGAGACCGGGAGCCGGCTGCGGGAGGCCCGAAGGGATCCATGCAACTCAAGGCAGGTTCCATTCGCGGATTGCCAATGAGCCACGAATCGAAACCAAAATGAGCCGGGTTGCCTTCACAGCCTGCAAGTTCAGCAGTGCCTCCTTCAGCTCCGCCTGAGAAGCCGAGAAGCCGTTGGTCGTGGCTTTGGTCACTTTGCTCGTTTTTGTGGGCCTCAAACCTTGAGCCATGTCTTGGAAGATTGTCTTGGTGGGGATGCGTGGCGTGGATTTCCCGGCTAGCCATGTCATGTTATATAGGCAACGTGCCACACGCCACGCTTCAAGGCCGCTATGCCAGCTGAACACGACGCAATGTGATGCTGCATCACATGACTTGACTGCTTTGGCCACAGGGGCAGACGCGTTCTTCACGCCTGCAGCCCCAAACCTGCGTCCCAATGTATGCAGTCTTCTTACTTTTGACCAAGCCGAGTGTGATATGCCCTGTGACATGACATCCAAACTGGCATGGGAAGCAGACTGCCATCCTAGTTGCCTTCCTTCAAGCACACATGATGGGTCGCTTCAGCGTGAATGCTCAAATCAATCAAGTTGTGATTTCAATATTTGTCTGAAAGCAAACCAGTCGAATTGGCCTGCCTGTTTCTTCAGGAATGATACCCGTGTTGCAATTGGCACCATTGTATGTATCATGTATAAATCACTAAAGGGAAACAAAGATGGTACAAATTGTGCAAGTCCTGCACGCAAGCAGTGTTTTGGTGCGCACCAGCACACAAACCCACACACACACACACTCACCAGCCGAATGTACAGAACAAGCATTCCAAGTCCAAATCCCGCCAAACCACGCATCGTGTCCCGCTCGCCGATCCGCGTCCCTTCTCTCCCGCGGCGCCTGCAGTCCCCGGAGCCGCCTCGTCAAGTCGAAGAGCTCTCGCCGCAGCGGCTGTGGTGCCGCCTGCAAAGCAAAACACAGGTCCGCCGTCGGAGTCATGGAATCTGTATCAGCATATCATCCCTAGAGAAAAGTGCTGATCCTCCCAAAGGAGCCTAACCAAAAGCTGCATTGGAGTCGATCCCAGAAATGCATGTTGATCTTACATGCCTCGCCGCAGGAGTCAACTCCAGCTCATCGCCCGCCTTGGCTGCGAGGCCCTCCGCTGAGACGTACTTCAGGGTGTTGATGAGGCTCTTCCTCGACTCTATTGGCGAAGGAAGGCCAAAGAAAACAGCAGCGCCTCCATTAAACATGGTCTCATTGTGCACGCTCGGGCTTGGGAGAAAAGCAAGGCCATGAAACTCGCGCTTGGCCCATGGAAGCATCATGAAGCCAGCGTGGCCCCTGACGACCGGAAGTTAGTGATAAAACAACTGGCTGACAATCTCGCATCGGCCATTTCCTGCATGCGTTACCCCTGAATTGGTCTGAACCTGGGACACCAGCTGCTGCTGCTGCAGTTCGGCCCGTGCCTCGCAGTTCTGCGTACAAGAAACAGGGTGCAATAAATCGCGACAACTGACGCAGGAGTATGTGCAGCGTGCATGAACACCTGCGGCAAGCTTTCAAGTGACAAATACTCACGACCTACACAATTCTCGGTTGTTGCAACATGTTACAAGCTAGACTATGCATTCTTGAGTATGACCTTCGGGGCGAGTGCCGATTCCTGTCATGCAGCAAAGGCAGCCCCGCAGCACCTATGGTCTCCAAAGTCAACCCCCGCCCCGTTGCCTTGCTCGGAACAACTGAAAATCCTGCGATCTGCTTTGATCACCAGCTTGCACAGAAGGAAAAAAAGAGGCAAAACAGCCGCCTCAAATTCAGCCACTCCTCGAGCTTGACCGCGCCTTCTGCAAAGCCTCTTCGCCATGCGGCTTTGAAGCCGACTCCATGTCCTGCGACTGGCACCCGGGCCCTCCCACAGCGAACCCTGAGACGAGCCAAAATACGCTCGCAGGCCTAAGTCTTGGCAAGCTCTTGGGTCGGGCGTTTTCGGTGCGGCCTCTGTTTTGTTCCGCTTCGCTCCCTTCCCACTCCGAGCCTCGCCTTCTTCACATCAATCTCTACCTCTACCACCTTCTCAGTGGCCTGGAAAAGGGCCGGTTGATGCGGTGAGACGGCAAATCCCCAGCACATCACGCGTATTCTCCCTTAGTACTCTGCAAGTGTCGCCAAAAAAAAAGAGCTCAATTAAACAGCAACACACAATGAGTGAAAAGTATTTCTGAAACACTGGTGCTAGGGGTGTCTGCAGTTCAGCGAGATTCGGCGAGAAGCGCCAACACAAAGCCCCCTCAACATGAGCCCTGGTCTGGGCTAAACCTCGCTTGCAATACGTGTTCCTGATTGTTTCGGGAGCTTATTGAAGTGCCTCCCAACCTCTCCATCGCTCAGAGGACGCGCCTTGGCGACACGCTCCTCCCACTTGGACTCCTGGGCCTGCCACAATGGGCACATCTGAAGCCTTCTGGCCTCCAAAAGCCAGTAAGGCAACGCAAAAAGGCAAACGGAACATTCTCACCGCCTGCCTCCTGGTACCACTGGTCCTCCTCGTCGCGCCGCACCTAACGTTGCGAGGGCGGCTCAATGGCCCTCTGCGTCAGAGACTTCAGAGATATGCCAACATCTTATCCTATGCTAAGCAACGCGCCCACAGTCTGGTTGTTCAAACACGGCATTTCAGGCTAGGCTGGGAAGCTCTAACTCTACCCAACACTGGATTTCTTGCGGGAAACCACACTTTTGATCCAAGATGGGAGCGCCTCGCGCCTGCCACCTGGGGTTATTGCCCGACCCTCAAACGGAAAAGGGCAAGACCGTCCGGCTACAATGCTCAGCTTGTCTGAAGAGCAGACTTTGCGATGAAATTACGCAACATTGTCGTGGCGGCCGCAAGCATGCCCTCCACCGATCCATTGCCATGACAGCCCTGACATCTCCGGCACTGGCCGCACAACAAGACGCCGTGGTCTGACAGGATGAGCCTTTTCAGATTGCAGTTGCTCACTTGCCAGCCCACGCCTGCATGCGGTTCATTGCCGCAGCCTTGTCGCAGTTCTGCTTCTCCATTTTGCTCATGATGCAAAGCTCGGGGCGTACCTCGAGTCAGTGGAGGCTTCGGATTGGGACTTAGTTTCTCAGAAGGCTTTCAGCTTCGTAGCGCCCTTGCCAAAAGCACATGCACCGAGCCCTTAAGGACTTCGGTCAAGCTCACCCTACCAGTCCTAGTCAAACTCTCGGCTCGCGGGCTCACCGGGCCATCCCAGGGGATCGTCCAGCCCATTGCGGGTGGCCGCTGCGACTGCATCCGATGCCTCGACCAGACCTGGGGCTCACCGCACAGGATCAGATGTCACAAGTGTCACACACACACACAGATTTACTTACACTGGATCAAATACGGGGAGTGCATCCCCATTCACAATTTATGGGGAGCCTCTCCTGAACACCTCCGGAACTTTATTAGAACCTCCCCAGAACCTGCCCC